GCCGAAGCCAAGTTGCACTGTACTGAACTGACCACGTCAAAAGCCGGAAGTCATGCGAACTGCGCACCTTTTTTCGGATTGAACCATCCGTACTACTTAGAAATTTTTGACAGAGCGGCCCAGGGGCTATGCAATAATTAAGACTACAAATTCCATGCAGAAACGTTACTGTATGCACATGGGACACCACTCATGGGGTCGCTGAAAACCGTTCGACAGCCCACTCCCGGTTTCGTCCTTCTTGGGGCTCATCAGGTAGGCGCAGGTTCCGTCAACCTTGTCCTACTTGGAACCAAATGGCACGAAATTAGCGAAATACACTCATTCGCAAGCGAATTTGGTTTTGCGAGGGACTGAATCCCTCGGATGTGATGTTTCCAGGCAACTGAATGTGCTGCAGCAGGCCGCTTCATGTTTCAGTTAGTACGATACGCCAGCAATGCAATACATTTAATAGAAATAACACACTACTTATAAAGTCGCTGAAAACTCTCCAACAAAAGTACGATAAATGAACGATTCAACTTAGATTCACGTAAGCCTCTTATGAAAACCAAATTGATATGCCAATGGGTGTATTTCGCTATATCGAATATTCTCGAGGACCGGGTGGGTACCCAGACAAACTAAATTGATTCTTAAAGCGTTTAAAGATGGAATGCGGAGTGTGTGCATGATTTTATCAGACCTGGGTCGAACCTAGTCCCGTAGAAATAAACTAAAGTTGTACAAGGGTATCATCCCGAAAACCGAGAAAAAAGTCAATTGGTGCTGGTATTCCCCCCCCCCCCTTATGCATGCTTTCAAAACCAGTTCAAACCGGTTCACAATACGAACTATCAGGTAAAAGTCACCTGTTATACTGCATGTTGACTGACTAAACCAAATTCATCACAACAGAACAATGGGCACATTGAAAGGGAATATTTAACTGCAAAAGCTTATCAAATCGATCCAACTAAGGAAGCAAAAACTAGGCGGAAGCATCGAAATCACGCCTAACCATGCTAGCAAAAGAGGACGATGAATCATATGACGGAACCTGGAGACAACCCAGTTGATTGCTCCGACGGAAGTAACCCGACTGTAGATACATATTACAAGAGTGGGAATGGTTGTTGATAAATCGGATATCATGGAACTACTACGATAAAAATTCGAAGCAACATGCACATAGAGGTATCCGATTCTATCAGCATTTGTTTTTTCTTAAACCTCTGGGCAGAAACTGCCTCGGCTGTTTGACCTACGTCGTTTGGATCTGCTTCAACCGCTCATCGTTAAAGTTACCAAGACAACTGTACTGTTCAGGTGTTGATAATACGTCAACACGTCTCGATCCGCTTAAGCCTGGGCCAGCACATTCAGACGGCTAACCCAGTTGCTGGACTCGCCACTACGCCGTGTGCGTGTGTAAGTGCTCGCGTGCCTGGTCTCACGATGACTCACCACGAGAGCACGCGATCGATCTACTGTATGGACCAATCGATATACTGATCCCTGTACCGGGTTGGCCTTTCAAAGGCCGGGCAGCGGAAACTACGCTGCCTCAATCATCCAATCACGTGTCCTCAAGAGCTCAGTTCGAAGATGCCGGGTATAGCGATGAAGCTACTTTACGCGGTTCATGAACCATGCAAGCGATCGAAATAAGATTTGACGTGTATGTGTGAAAACAGTTTTCTTACAGATTCATGGAAAAAGCAACCACATTTAGGCAGAAAGAAATCACAAAGGCCCGCAGTACTGCTTGGAAGTTTTGGCAGAAAGCTAAGGGGAACCTGAGAGTATTCAAAAGCGTGTCACCAACACCTTTCACTTACCTGAATTTCAAAACTTTCCTCTGTTACTTCAACCGATCACGGCTTGGCAGAAAGCGTTTAGACAAAGCTCACAAACAGGAGAGTTGACGAACTCGGCCGTACTTTAGATGTGACGTGGCAATGTATATTTGCAGTCCGACAACTCAGAGTACATATTCGGTCCCAGGATACTAGTGAAGGCAGTCATTCCTGTAACTGTCATCGATCGGACAAGCTGAAGTCCCCTCCACACCAGTCCTAAGTAAGCGCCGACTGAAAGACGGTAAAGTATCGACCGTTTCCAATTTTATTCCCCAAGTTTGAGTGCAGCGGACAGCGCGTATGTAAAAGCCTCTGTCTACTCAGTGCCAAGTACTAGGCAATGTGATTGATGCTATATGGAGCGACGAGAAAATGCTTGTAGAATGGGGCATTGCGACAGTTATTCCTATCTTCAAAATGGGTACGCGGACACTGTGTGCAAACCACCGTGGCGTCGACAGTGCTCTCTGGAATTGTCTTTCGAAGGTTGACTGAACACAGTGAGAGACAAATCAGTGAAAACCAAGCTGGGTTCCGTCCTGCAGGAGGGTACATCGATCACACTTTCACCCTGACAGATTCTGGAACAGTGACACTGCTCCCAGCGACCAACAATGGTCCTCTTCCGTGACTTGAAAGCTGCCTTTGACTCCGTGGACCGTCAGGCATCATGGCAGTCTGTGTAGCAAAGGCGTCTCCCATAAATTCTAGACTCTCCTTAAAACGATGTACGTTAACTCTTGCGGGTATGTGAAGATCTACGGGAAGCTCTCGCCAAGGTTCACCACATCAAGTGGCGTCCGACAGGGTTGTCCTCTTTCACCTTTCCTTTTCAACTTCGTTATTGATACGATCATGGAAGGCTCACTACCAGCCTCTAATGCCTCTGGGGTCGAAGTGCTCCCTGGGCCTCCGCTCACAGACGACATAGTTCTTCCTGGATCTGACCCCGTGGCAATGCAAACAATACTAAATAATCTAAATAATTCTGCCTCGCGGTTCGGTATGCGCTTCACACCTGCAAAAAGTAAAGTGCTGCTACAAGACTGGGTGGGCTCGAACGCTAGCCTCATGCTTGCGGATGAACCGATTGAGGTAGTATACAAATTTGTTTACCTGGGCAGCTGTATCAGTCCCGGTGGTCTGGCGAAAGATGATATTTCCATCCGGATTGGGAAGGCCAGAGCAGCTTTTGCGAACCTACGTCACCTGTGGCGTAGGCGTGACATCAGTTTCTCTGTCAAGGGTCG